TTTGTCATGTTTGTTTACAGTCCGCAGGGATTTTGCTCAATGCTGCATGAAGATGCTGTAGCGAGGAGCAGTTTTGTATAGTTTTGTCATGTTTGTGTACAGTCCGCAGGGATTTTTGCTTCAATGCTGCATGAAGATGCAGCCTCAATCCATCCTGGACTTTTCTCTTCCCGTTGCATGACGATGCTGGGTGTCAGACCCAATTTGTCTGCATGTTGAAACTACGCTGGAATCACTCTTGTCAACATGCTTGCAAGCCTCTCAGACCCCTGGAGTCGAATTTTTTCTGTTCCAGGCTCCAGGTTTCTCTGATCTATGGGGTGGTTTCAAAATTCATTGAGAGAACACTATTTGGCCAGTCTTCCATACAGAATTGGGCGGTTTTGGGAGGGATTCACGGCTTAGCTCATTTGCTCCTTTCCCCGTCTCTCTTTTGGTTTTGACACTCACCACGAACCTGACAGATCCTGTCTGACAGACAAACTGACAGGCCATTTTTGGCTTCTGCGACATCCGAAACTTCACCGATGCAACGGAAGTCCTGCAGGAGCAGAGTCGTCCGTGTGGCAGGTCTCATCCCCCCCAATCTCCTCCCATCCATGCTGCATGGAGGTCTCAGGTCTCTCCGGTGGTTGACCGTTTAGGACCGATGTTGGACTGTTTAGGAAGGCTGGAATGCCCGGGACGAAGGTCCGTGGTTTGATCAAGTGGACAGGGAACCGGCTTGCACGCACACGCTCGCGTGTGAATTCCTAGTGAAAGCAAGCAGTCGAAACAGACTGTTGATGAAAGTACCCCAAGCTGTGTGAAGTCGAAGTCTTGCAAATCTCCAGTGTCTGCCAAATCTCCAGGACCAGGTGATGGTCTTTGTGAATCGCATTGCGTCGGTCATTCACTCCTGCGTCAACGAGTTCTTTGGCAACCCCAACAAAAACATAGGCCCGGCCAAGCAGTAGGATGCACTGGTTTGGCCACATGATGCGATGCCCAAAGCCCGCCAGAGCCGGTTTACCCTTTGGGACTAGCTGCACCGCCCGGACAGGTGAAGCTTTCTTACTGACCTGGAGGCTTTCTGGATACAGCCCAGCCAAGTCCAGGACCTGGGCAAGCAGAAAACGACATGAGCAACAGGCGAAACAGTTCATGTAAGAGTTTACTCTTCGAAGGATTTTTCCATGATGTAGATTGCTCCAAACCCTGCAGAACGATATGGTGAACTACCAAAAAACAACACCGATAACTTGAACAATCAAGCAAAAGATCACCATACACATTTAGACTTTACTCACAAAAGACCTTGGCGCTCAGATGAACAATCAATCTCCACAAGGCCCATTTGATTCTGCTGTCGAGACATCAGTTTGGCTTGGTATCAGTGCATGGCTAGAACTGAGCTGAGGCAGAAAAAGCTTGCAGACATGTCGTTGCTGTCCTTCATCAAGATCATTGTGAGGGGCTTGGAGAAGAACCTGTAACAATCAAAACTAGCTTTGCACGGAAACACCACAGCTGGGGACCGAGGCACAGATCAACAAGTCACCCTTGTTGGCGGAGTATCGCAACCATCCAAAGCTCGCCAAAAGGCAGGGAATGCACAACACCAAGACCAAGAACTTTAAGGGCAAAGTAGTAGCTTCTTGTTACTACTAGTAATGACAGGAGCTACTAGGAGCTTCTTGCTCCTAGTAGCGATACCCTTTGTTACTAGTAGCTTCTTGTTAATTGCTGGCAAATCCAAAAGAATCAGAATCAGAATTGGGTGTTTCAGAAACACGTTGCCAAATTCCAAAAAAATCGGGAGAGAACCCGCTTTGACCATCTCGATGGTCGCGGCTTGGACGAGAGCAGACAGGCTGCCAAACTACCGTGTCCGAATGGGCTTCGGCTTGCACAGTGGTTGGGCTATCGAGGCAGGGTTGTTGCAGAGAAGCACCGGCATGGCGGCCAAATAGTACAGTAACTGCCAGCGGTGCTGCACCAGGGTGCGATCGGCTCCGAGTTCAAGATCGATGCCTCATATCTCAGCCCCAATGTCAACATGGCCGCGCGACTTGAGGCAGAACACTTCTTGTCCATCCCCTCCTTTTTTGAGTGCCACAAGAGCGTGTTTGAAAGGTGTTCTTGATCAAACACGACTGGTGGATTTGTAAACATAGAATCAAATTCTTTGCATTGTTATGACACAGTGAACAGTGCACGTGGCTTGAACTAGTACTACTAAGCGAGGGCTGGACAATTTCTGTGGACTCAAGCACACAAAGCACCTTGAGTTTGCATTCATCTCCTCCGCATGCCAAAAAAAAACTGGAGAAATCATGAGAACCTATGAGAAACCTCGCAGGCAGTGACCAAGCAGTATGGTTGCCTCATCTTGATGACGGATGCTATCATCAAGCTGATGTCTGTCGAGGTCTCCGAGGCACGGCCACGATGGGAGTCACACCATGACACCGACACCACCGGAGCGTCCAGGAATGCCGGATCATCGACCATGTGAGGCTCTCTGCAACCAAGGACGGAGTCTGCATTAGAACACCAGGTTTACCGCTGTGAATCTGTGAATCCCAGCAGTTTCTAGCATCTCAAGAAAGGCCTTTGCAACATCTACTCAGCATGTGCGAGAAACAATGTTGGCGCGGGCACTGATCAGAAAATATCAGACAATGAGAGTCAACCAACGTTGCCTAAGTTGCTTTACCCCCAGCTCCCGGTAGACTTTCTTCCCTGTCGAGGGAAGATTCTTTGGAATTTGGTTCCTCAGACCTATGGGGCCCTGGTAAAGCCCTAATCCTCAGACCTCTGCAGCCCCCCCAAAAAGGAGCCGTTCAAGCTCTACACCTATGATTTGAACGACTTGGCCTTGGAGGAGCCAGTGACAAGATGTAACGAGCCAGTGGTTGAACAGGATGGTGTTCTGAGATGCCTTTCTTATGAATTATTTTTGGTAGCACGTGCCTGGGCAATATTTTTTTACGGCAAATCGAGGCGCTGATTTGCACATGTAAGATCATGTATATAAGTGCTTTTGCGGGAGGTTGAAGCTGCAGTAACTCCTCCTCAGCCAGTGCAAGGACGTGGGTGATCACCGGTTTGTCAAGGGCCGGCCATGCGGCCATGCCTCTTCAGGTCTCGTCATACATGATTTAGACATGGCAATCCTGGAAGAGACAATCGGAAGCCCATTCGTTTCTCAGGCACCGTCTCTGACCGTTCCACCTTCGGAGAGAACAGGAACCGACGCGTCGAAGCCCTCGTGCGTCGGAGCCCTCGCAGGAACCTTGTCCGATGGTGCTCGCAAGACCGAGACTCAAAATCGCGAGGTGCACGTGGCGACAATTCGACGGCAGGACACGATGCGAGATGAGAAGTCTATTATTTTTCAAAGAGTCATTCATTCATACCAGTCTCGAAGCCTGGAACAGAAATCAAGAGAATCATGGAGTGTTGACTAGAATAGGATCAGCACTTCAAACAATGCTTGTGGACAGTTGGAGTCCTTTTACTAATGCTATACAAAATGTTGATCCCTGTGCACTGCGCAGTCGCTGTTCCTTGTCCAACTCTGGAAGGCTGCGCAGAAGAAAGACAAGTACCGACTCCGTTGGGCGCTTGGAACATGGCGAAGCCTGGGATTTTCATCTCCACGTTGATTTTTGTTTTTGCTACTAGTAGCTTCGGACGCTACTAGTAGTAATGCCGTAATGCCCCTTGTTACTAGTAGCTTGTTTTTTTTCTTCATTTGTTACTCATCACTTGCCGCATCTGGGCTGGTGCCGTGCCCTGTCCCCATGGACAGACGGTCGGACCAAGTTTAAACCTTGAGAAAGACCGGACTCCGGAGACCCCCGAAAGACGGGGTGGTCCAAATCGGCCAACCAATCTCCCTGGGACAGCTGTAGATGAAACAGCTGAACAGCTGTTGTAGATGAAATGCACAGTTTCAATGTCTCACCTCGCTTAGGATTTCTCGAATCCTGTACTCAAACCAGCCATTTTGCTTTTGTCGCGCTACTCACAAGGCTTTCGGTGCATCTTTGCGAGATGCATCATTTCATCATATTTATATAATATGTCAATTTTGTTTGGAGCCTGCATGGAAGCCGGCAGAAGTGGATAATATTCTTCAAATGCTTCGCCCCAGATAATTCTGTTCAAAAGCATCATGGCACGTGGCACTTTGATGCACTTTGATGTCTACGGAGGGGGTTCTTTCTCCTCATGGGTTCCTCTCCGTGGGTTCCACTGAAATCCCGTCCGTCTCTCGTCTCAAAAAGCCTCTCGTCGCGTGCGACGTGCGACTCGCGTGGCGACGTGCGGGGCCACTCGAGGCCATGAAAGAGAACGGACGAAGGCTGAACGCTGGAGCGACGACTTCCAGCGTCTTGGCGCACGCACGCATTTATGCGACAGCGAGATATTGGGTTTTCTGGGATGGTTACATTGGAATCACTGTCGTACATGGTTGATTTGGGGAGATATTGGGCCATTGGGAAACTCACTACATCTTGGATGAGGCCCAAAGAGAGAATCGTTTATTTTTCCTCATGTTTCGGGAGAACTTCACTGGCTGTTTGGCTGGACTTACTGACTTACTGCGTCAAAAGGATTGCTGCTATTGTTTTCAGACAGAGAGAAGGATGGACAGACTTGAATTCCAAGGATGTGCTTTATGCTCACGAGGGATGCTGATATCGTGACCATGCGCAACAAGTTCACCTCGGAGTGGCTTGATAGAAGAGTTAGAGAAAGGATTGGGATGACCTCAAACAGACTAGGACTATCCAGGACTAGGAGAGTACATATATAATACATTTGAGACACAAACTCAAACACTCATGAGGGACGCACACGGTGTGACTCAAAAAATCGCTGCGGTGTAACTCAAAAAACAGCTGCGGGTGGGACACAGGTGGTCGAGAGAATATTTGTGGAGCAAAGGATTTGCCAGTTGCCAGAAAATAATGACGCTGGTTCCAGTTGGTTTGTTTGCGGCGTGTACTCTGTGAATCCAGTGTCTCAGTGAATGGCCAAGTTGCTTGTTGTTCTTTATATATATATATATATACACAGGACATTGGGAAATGCACTGGAAACCTTAAGCCACTCATCTCCTGTTGTCCTCCCCTTACCTCTCTCCCCTCTCACATGGTGGGCATAGTCAAATCGGAGATTCTACACAAGTCAAGATTGCACTGGTGAAATCAGCATGCTTTGCCTAGGTTCTTTTGCCGATTCAACATGGCGTACTTGAACTACGAGGCCATGGCCATGGCTGGTCCTGGCTTGTGTTGTGATGGCTTGGTAATGTGTCACAGTGACTGTCGCACCTGCGACACTCAGAAAACCAATCACCAACTAGAGCCCCGTTGCAGGCTGGCGAGTGGGGAGTGGCCAAGGACATGCTGGAGGCTGGCGGCAGTGACAAGCAGTTGAGCAGAGGAAAATCTTTCCCAACACGTGAGTTGAAGAAAGAAACCAAGAGGTCCAAATGTAATAGGTGGTCACAGGGGCCAGAATTCACCCCACCGCACCTATTTCTGGTGGTCAAAGCGATCCATTTAGGGTGGAAATGGCATTCTGAACGACATCGGATGAGAAAAGCAGCTAGTAGACTAGGAACTCAATCGAACGACGATCGGAGGCCTTCCCCAGGTCATGAGTGGAAAACCAGAAGAGGTTATTCACCAGAACCACATTGGGTCCTGTTTTATTGGAGCTTCGTTGCAACAGCATCAAACATAAAGAAGTTCGGATTTCCGGTTTGTTTTGATTTGATGCATGTGTTTGTTTTTGTTGCTCCTTGATTGACACCCCGCCTTCGTACCAAAAAGCTTTGTTGGAGCATCTATAGGAAGAGGCTGCTGCAGAATATGCAGTGCACTATAGTGCACTGCAGACAGCGGAAGCAGGATAAGACAACTCATGGTTTGGAAATGCGAAACTGGTTGAGCCAGGAACGAGGACAGTGATAGACAACTAGCCGACAAGCCATGGAGTCTTAGTCTTAGGCGAATGCATATATTTGAATACCAATGATTTCATGCATGAGGATTTCTTACTGAATTGGTAAGCAAACAATACTATATATATACTGTATATCAAATATATAAAAATACAGTAAGACATTAAACAATATATCAAACAATACTACTTTATATAACAATACTTGCTCATTAATTATTCACAATTGGACTCTTGAGTACGTCTGAGTTGTCAGGTGACTCGATTCCTCTTGGCGACGGAGGATGGGCCTTCAGCCGCCTTGCTGAGGTGGGCGAGCTGGTTGGATCGAGCCGAACACGGAGCGGATGCGGACCGGATGCGTTATTTTTTTGTTGTTCTATTTAATTGTATTTCTTTTGCACCCAAACCATAGAGACAATCACCGATTTTCCACCTGGCAATTTTAAGAGGAATATGTTTCATTTGAATGCTTCTGACTCAAGTGAGACACTCACTCCTACAGAACGGATGCAGTGGCTTCAATGAAAGTGAGACTCGCCGAAGTTGGCACGGTTGACAGCAGAATCCTCATGGTTTAGTCGGGAGATTTTCATCCAGATCGGCAGATCCCCTGACTCCTTGACCTTTTCAGCTCCCATACTCTGACAAAGATCGTTTTCAGACACTAAGATATGTCGTGATCTTCCATGCCTCATCGTTTTCTGCCTCCTGTGCTTTTTTCAAAGGTACATGAAGCAGTATGACTGGGAAGCTCCAGCTGGTTGGACTGGGCCGGGTCCTCGGGGGGCTCGTTGGACCTCAGGTTCTGGGTGCGTTATGAGCTGAATGCCCCGTGGAAAGAGGACCACGGCTGCTATACGGGTCCATTTTTGCAAATTCTACTATGTAGTGGAAGCTGACAAAGATGTAGAACATGCAGAGAGAGAGAGAGAGAGAGCCTTGATGGCTTGCTATGCTGCCCCAGGTATCGCGTTCTTCATGACAAGTGAAATTCGCTCCATGCCGGGCGAAGAGCGCTCGTGCCTCACAGCGGAGGTGCTGCGATATCTGGTGGAACATCCTGGCCATGACAGCCATCATAGGTCATAGGTCCTTCAAACTATTGATGATCCGACACTACAAGCCTGTGTTTGCTCCTCCTTGAATCGAATGCACTTGAATCGAATGCACTGTGACTGTGACAGTGGCGTGTCACAGCATCTTCCCATTTTTCTCTCAAAAACTCCGGATTTTTGACAGATCAGGAACAGGGGAAGTTGTTCGACTAATCGTCTCACCTGACAAGAAGTACATATGAAGGACCGCTCAAGTGGTTCATTTGCAAAGTTACCTCGCTCAAAGCGCGGTCAGGACAGAGTCTGACAGATCTAAGAAGAGATTGGGGCGTGCAGCGTGACCTCCATTTCTTGTGCAAAAAAAATACACAATGCGACCCTTAGAAGAATGGACACATATGGAAACATGTCTCGTTTTGTCCTCATCTGCATCCTGCAATGGTCGGTGGTTCTGATGTCTTTCCATGCCTGCCATTTTGCTACCCATCACCGGATTCATTTTGGAACCGTCCCGAATGGGAACACCGGATTCACCTTCGGACTCGACAGTGCTGGGCTTTCGTCCAATGAGTCCAATCGCAAAGCCATTCCGTATGGGAATGGCACTGCTTCATGAAGAACGTGTAACAACTTCACTCGAGATGACATGACTTCTCTTTCCGGCATTCTGGCGGAAAGTCCACCCCGGACGAAGTTGTAATGTAAATGTACTTCGGGGTTGAAATTAATCCGTGGGAATTCCACTGTGATCCGCTGTAGGATTCTAAGGGGAAACGGTTGTAGGTCATGTATTCGCAGGCTTGTTACCAACTTTTGTCCTGCCTTTGTATGTGATCGATGTACATGGTCAGACGTTGACAGCTTGTGGTTGTTCAGCAGGTCATGAACAAGGCATTGCACAAGCATGAATGAGGAAACAAGTTTTTCAACCATTCTGATACTGTATATAAGTTTGCAGAACAGCACAAACATGGGATTGTTACAGCAAACGTCGATCAAAGCAGAATATACATCTACAAACTATATATATAATGGTATAATTCCGCATGTTACAAATATATAATGTCTTAGATTGTAATATAAATATATATATATATGGAAAGGGCTTCAACAAATATACTTGAGCCCGTGGATGTTGACGGATCAGCAGGCACACTTCACTTTCACGCAGGAAGACCGCTGATGCTGCGCGTCTATTTGCCTTCTGGGGAAGAATTGGCGGCTATACCTGTCGAGACCTTGAGCGACGTGCGATCCCTGAAAGGGCAGTTGGAGCCAATCTGTGGGTGGCCGCGCTTCAGGCTAAAGCTCCTGCATGATGGCCGGACTTTGGATGACACCCTTCCGCTAAACTCTCCTCTGGATGTCCAACTGATCAAGCTGAGCAGCTTCACAAGCAGCTCGGAGGAGCAGATACTCCATTTCCAGAACGCAGTGAAGAGTGGCGATGCATCTGAGGTTGAGAAGATCTTGATGCACTCCCACGACCCCAATTTGAAAACGTCAATATCCTCTCCCAGTCCACTCTCCATCGCGTCGAAGGCAGGACATGCCGACACAGTGCGGTTGCTCTTGGAGGCCAGGGCTCACTGTTCCAAAGCCATCCGATTTTGGGAAAATCTAGAGGTTTTGCGGCTGCTGGTACCGAAAGGTTTTCATGCCTTTGATTCGTTGCAAGACAGCCTCTATGAGGCAGTAGGAAGAGACGAGATCGAGGCAATCCATTTGCTGCTTGAGGCACGTGCAAAACCCGAGCATGAAATACCCCAAGTGCGGGATCCCCCTCTCCTTGAAGCAATTTCGCATCGGAACGTGGAGGCTCTCCGAGTACTGCTGCAGCATCTGAGCGTGCGTTCAGAAGAATCTTATTGGGAGCGTGATGACCGTATGACGTGTTGTTGTCGAGGTGTTGTTACTGCGTCTTTTCACGGGAATGCCGAGATTCTGCGCGTGCTTTTGGATGGACATTCTTGGGGCCCTCTCGGCGACGATTACTACGGTTTGCCCGTTGTGGAAGCCCTCCATACTGCTGCTAAACGAGGACACCGCAGCATCATCGAAGTTTTTCGGCAACTGCTGGGTGGAGCCATCTCAGGTTTCCTGGACGAGGCCCTGCAAAGTGCTGCTGTGTCAGAACGAGATGATGATGGTTGGCTTCCATGTTGGTCGTATTCGTTGAAGTCTGTGGAGTTTTTGCTGGAAGAAGGCGCCCATTTCACAGACAGCTTTCCCGCTCTGATCATCATGCTTGAGCACGATCCACGCGTAGAGGTTGCGCGCTCTCTGTTGGAATTAAAGGCCGGAGTGGATGTGCCCGTGCCCTTCTATAAACTACCTGACGTGAACGAACGTCCCATCACATATAGAAATTGGATCTTCCGCAAAAACAAAAATGTCATGGGGATGACAGCCCTAATGTATGCGTCGGGGTGCGGCCACGTCAAGCTTGTGCGCATGCTCTTGGAAGCACGAGCTGCCGCAAATTATGCTGACAGCAGAGGCCGAACAGCCTTTTCATTGGCTTCCCAGCATGGTCACGCAAAGGTGTTCCGTGTGCTGATGCTGCGGAAACTGTCCGAGGTGGGTGCCATCCACAATGACTGCAGCTCATCTAGTGAATCTGCATCCAGTGATTCGGACACAGAATCTGAATTTGACTTATTTGCGTAATGGTGAATCGGAAAAGTGCGAGTGGCTGCGCACCAGGTTTTTTTTTGGCAAGCTACTAGGTTGGAGTTGGTGGTCCTTGTAAATGGATTGCTTCGGGATTCCATTCTTGATACATGACTCACTTTGTTCAGCAGTGAGTGGGTCTTGGTCTCAGATTCTGATGTGCAGAGTAGAGCCATCTCAAATATTGGGCCGTTCACTTGGGGCATGAGACATGAGTGATTTCACCTTTGTGTTCACTGATATACAGGTTGAAACGGAAGGCCCTGTGCCCTGTAGCATCAGCGACTCAGCCTCCTGCAGAGAAGTGCGGCGCACCAAAGTGAGTTCGACTTGTTTCAGTCGTTCTAAATGCCCTCACAACACTGCATGAGGTTCCAAACAGTAGATGGATAATAAAATAGAATAAATAGAGATTGCGATGATGGTGGTTTGTGGTAGTGCTGGTATGGGAACGCATATGAGAGAACACGTCTTCACCTGGACGTTCTGCTCTGGCAGGGATCTGAGATCTATGGGGGTGTCAGTGGGTTCTACACCTATGGGCCACCAGGATGTGCTCTGAAGACTAACCTCATCAAGTACTGGCGACGGCATTTCAGTGAAGGGAATATGTTTGCCGAACAAAGAAGACCCTACATAGCTGCTTTATCACACAGCTTTGACCTTTCGAGCCAGGAGAGGATGATGGAGATCGAAGATACCAACATCATGCCACATCCGGTTTTGAAGGCACCGAGCGGAAAAAAACAATCATTACTTGCCTTCAAGGCAGTTCTCAATTCTTTGCTTACAGGCATCGTCAAATCTTGAAACACAACATCGTCCACCCCATGACATTCCAAATTTGCTTTCCAGAATGCTCAGTTATGAGAGCTTGAGGCGTGTAGTGAGCGATGATTCCAGTAAGTCTGTGTGATGAATAAGAGCGTTCGGGAAAGGAAGATCCAACATGATTGCCACAAGGACAACAAGACCCATGGAAGGGGCTGTCAGATGAGACAGTCACCTTGGCAAGGGACTTTGCACAATCTACGCATTTACAGAGCCTGGTGCAAAACCTTGGATACCTCCAAATCATTCGATGAGTTTATTTGATCGCCAGGAACCAGGCCGATGCCTACTAGGAGGAAATCACCGAGATCTTCAGGAGATCTTCCTGTTCCTGTAAATCAAGAGACCAGTCATAGAATAGGCTATTTTTTGTATAGTGCAAGATGGGTTCCAGGAATTTGCTTGGAGTCTTGGGCCACTCTTCAGTACAGGCTCCCCTTGCAAGTGAGGACTCTGTCAGAAAGTGGTTCTGGCCGTGCGAGTGCCGGCCGTCCGGGCTCCAGGAAATACAACGTGCGGTCTCCTGAGGGGGAGGGAGGGAGAGAGAGAGGGAGAGCAAGAGCGGAGATGATGTGGGAGAGATGAGCGACATGAGTAATATGATGTAAATGCTGATGAATAAACCTCCCCATCTAATAATCCAGGGTGATGGAAATGCGGTCAGCGGTCAGCTCTTACAGAGCTTGCAGGGCAGCAGCTCGGAGTAATTTCAGCTTCGGGCACTTGTGGTCTTTTGGCTTCCGCATGAGGCAACGTGCAGCATCAGAAAGTTCGCACTTTTGTCTGTGTGCTGGGTGTTTGGAGTCTCAAAGGCCGTTTCTGCCCCATCCCCTGCGTGTGAAATGGCCATCGAAGTTCTTTTCCTCAACGGCAACTCTGTCAGCATCGACCCAGAGAAGGGTTTGGAGGTCAGGGTTGAGGGACAAGTGACTTTGAACAACTGCCCCCCCTCGAGATCGAATTTTAGACCTCTGTCCTCTTGGAATAGGGAAGGTAGTTTGGGCATGAGTTTGAATGCTTCAGAACTCATATCCTGCAGGCAGCAAAGCGGAAAGTGGCGGAGGCTCTAGGAGTCTTACCAGGTGCTGTGAAGATCACCTGCAGTGGAGAGATTCTTACAGAACTGCGGGAGGATCTGCATGCCTCTCCATGCCATGCTGCAGTGGATCAGGAGCAAATGGCCTTTGCCAAACAGTGGGAGATCATGAAGCAGCAGATGCCACTTCTGGATAAGCAGACACTGGTGCTTGCCAGGCTCAGACATGAGCATGACTTGAAGCTCATGGAGCTCAATCTCAGAGTCGGTGGTCGCTCGGAGTCGGCGGTGAAGCAGGCAGAGTGGACGCTGAAGGAAGGCGGCTTATCCCTTCAAGAGGAGATGCTCAATGGAATACCAGCCCGCTTTGTGTGCCAGATGAAGCCATCCCAGTGGTTGTGGGGTTGTGCGAGTACGATTTCTTCAAAGAGAGTCAACCATTTCTTCCCAAAAAGTCAATGTCCACCAAGGTGTAGAGGACGGCGCCGAGTTTCCGAAGTTGCCTGACCAACTAAATGCTTCTTTTTTTCCAACGTCAAGGCTGGTATCCTTCGGTATCGTACACAAACACAGGTTGAACATCTCTAAGATGACTTGTTCTGAGGACAGCTTTGGTTGCCCGCGTGGGGAAGTTAAAAGGCCTTAAAGCTTTGGAAGAGAAGGTCTCCAAGGCAGATCGGGAGCTCTTTGGCAAGCAAGAGGAGTTTTGGACCAAGGCCGAGGACCGAACAGCGAGCGAGCGAGCTGGTGGGTCAATGGGTCCCTGGGAGGGTATGGATATTTTTGCTGACTCAGATCTCATAGATGTTGGGATTAGTGGGGATATGGTTGGATATGCCTCCTTTCTAGAAGAGAAGGGGTGTATTTGGTTGGGACCTGCAAGCAAGGTCACACAGACCTTGACATTGCGCTTCGATATTGTTTGATTGGCTGCAACTGTAGCGTGTTACTACTGATACATCGAATTTGCTTGGCCCTTCACATTCGGGCTCCCCAGATAGACTCCTAGGACATAGGATGTCCAACCAGGAGCCAATGCTCATGAAAACATTCAGAATCTGTTGCATTGCACGCGGATGCCACTGCATTTTAAATGGCCAAAAGTAATTGCATGTATTTCTTGTTCTGTTTTTTTGCAACAGTTGTTGCTCGCGCGACAAGCGCCCTGAAATCGCTCCGCACATGTTGTTCCTCAGGGCTAGGATGGGCGAGGGCTTTGGCAACCTGTGATGCGATCTCTATCCTTTCATTGGCAGCTCTGTTTTGTTGTTGCGCTTTTGCTCTCAAGCATTATGGAGCCTCAAAATGATTGGCCCTGGGGGAATCAGCAGAACTCGCCAGGAGTGCAAAAGGTCTCTGGAAGCAGAGTTGAAGATGCAAGGCATTGATCCCCAGGAGCTACTCCACAAGTTTCACATTTCGTTGCTTTCAGCTACAGGGCCACGCCTTGATCGGGTCAGAGAGATCTATCCAGATCCCTGTACCTTGGCAGCTCAGATGCTAGCCTAGCTAGCTAACCAGGTGCTGTGAGTTGGAGGTGACTCACGAGTTTGCAGGTGTCCAGTCTGTTTGAAAAGAGAAATACCCAACTGAGAACCGTTCTTAGCCTTCATCTCAATCATCCCATTCATTCCTTCGAAATTATCTAGTGGAAAGAACACATTTCCTGCCTCACCAGCATCACCAAGGCTTTTGTGCAAGGTGTTGCTCTCCTTCAGACCGGTGCTTTTCAAAGGCGAGCACTTGCAATGGCCAGACCGATGACATGGAGACCTTGTGCCCCAGGCTCATTCGGCGTGAGACCTGGAGCAAGCCCGTGGGCAGGAGGAACAAGAGTTTGCGCTACAAGTTGAAGTTTGCTGACTCTAAACAATGGAGGATTCTTTTGTATGTGTTTTGTGTAATTTGACTGGCGTAGGCTCAGAGGTATTAGGACACTTTTGTTGGACTTCGCGATCCGAAGATTGCTTCCTCTGTGACTTTACTCCTTCTTTGAGCAAAACAGGATTTTGGTGGGGCGTCGAGTAAGACCAAAGCTATTGGCAGAGTCCAGTCACACGGCAGGGTTTTCCTTCGTCGACATTTCTCTTTTTCAAGCTTCTCAATTACACACCAAGGCAGAGTCCAATGAGAAAGAAAGCTGGGAAGCAGTCGAGATCTGTATTGTTTGATCAGGATCTGCAAGATTTTTGAGTCGACCCTCACACACCCGAACCGAAGGACCGAAATCGATGTACAGTGTATAGCAAGCCCAGGTGACTTACTTGGGACTTTCGGCTTCTGTACTGCGCATTCGAGAGGAAAGATGATGACAAATATGTTGGCATCAATTCCTTGGAAACGTGGAATTGAGCTATATACGCTGATCAGCATGCGAACCTGAAGTCGCCTGATGTCAACACGTAAAGCCGGCGTTGGATGTGCCTTTAGACCTACCAAGGCCAAAGAAAATTACCATTTGAGAGGCTGTTGCTAGTCCAAGACCCAGAAGGTTATGTGTGTCACTGGCCTCCTGATCTTTGCTTGGAACATAGAGTGAGGAAGCTGAGAACATTTGTGAGGTTCGAAGAGGTGTCAGGTCACATCCGTTTTTAATTTTTCGATCAAAACAACACGTGTGACCCTCCTTTCTAGGTCCCGCATGGAGAACATGCGACCATACCGGCAGTTCGCAAGGTCAGGGGACCCTGCAGTCTTCCTTACGTTGTAGCTATACCGGACCCTCACAGCAACTACTGTAGGTGCTGTCCAAGTCGATGTGATCATATTTATCAAGGAAAGTCACCTGCAGGACCTGGAGCTCGGGGGACTGTCGTGAGATGTACATAGTGTTCTTCCTCCTTTTGTCCTTAGTCTCATAAAACTGGGCACCCTATGCTTTTGATTTCCAAAGAATGGACTAATTACATGATAGATGGACTGCATGCTTGGATGCCGAAACCAGATTTGATGTGCACAGAAAAAAAGCGTCATCCAGAGCCCTTTACGAAGCGCTGGAAAACTTCATGTGGTTTATATCTTCGTTTTTGTAGGGACTTACTTGTTGCTTCAGAACTCTTTGATGTAGGACTCAGTCCATACACCGGTTGTCCCTCAGTCCAAACGGCCAGTGAATTAAGCATGACAAACTTGCACTCCCAACTGTTCATATCTCGCACAGCCCCGCTGAGTGGTGCAGACCATCACTGCTCCCGTCCTTCTTCACTTCGCAAAGAAGATGCTCTGGGAGGAATGTGCACTCCTGCGATCACGAGGGTGACCCGAAAAGCCGAGCCAGAATCACGAAGGTCTACGATTCTACAACCTTGTAAAGAAGACGGAATGCAATACTTGTGCTCTGAGTTGTTGAACTCTTACGGATCTCTGCTCAACAGTTTTGTGGCAAAAGGAGCCCTGCTTCCAAGGACTTGCTTTGGGGAGTCTTGCCTGCCTTGGAAAGCAGACTTTTGGCAGGTTTGTTTTAATCCGGCATAAACAAGAACACATGGGATGGTTCCTGAATGATTTAAACAAGAAGAATAACGTCATGGTTCTCAAAAGGTTTCAGGCATCGGGAGGTTCTAGCTTCAATGTGTGTTCATGCATCCTGGGTGTTAGCTTTCCAGCATTCTCCTCCTTTGCTACGTCTACCTCAACAGTCTTCTGCAAAAGGGGGTCTGCTACTGGGGTCAGAGAATGTGCCAAATCTCGCTGGTCAAGTCAAATGCAGAGCTACTGAGCATTGTGATGCTCTTTACCTCTGTAAAGCCTAAATCACTCCCGAGTCCTGGATGCTTTGCCATTGCTTGTGACCTCATCCACCAACCTTTTCAGGTCTTCTCGGGGCACCTTATCCACCAACTCCTTGACTCACAGTGCACTGGCCACTCCAAACACGAGAGCGAGCGATTCTGCGATTCTTCTCACACCGGCCGCAGCCCAGCCTTCACCGGGCGTCCAATCTTCTTAAAGGCATTCATGGCAACTCCTGCATCCTGTCAGGACAGCCTACAAAAAACGCAGAACCCACCATAACCCACCCACCCTGCAACTACGGGGCGATCAGCCTGCAAAAAAGAAAGGGCACTCGCGAATTTGCAAATTGTGACCAGCTCCCATACCATGCCATAAGAGTTATAGCATAGAGCATGTGACATGTCGGTCAAAAGTTAGTTTTTGGCTCATGGGGTTGCGACAATCAACACTGGTTAGGGCCGCAGAATATCTATGGCAAGGGACCACATTTCGGGGGTGGCATGGCATGATGCATGAAAAGAATACAAGCCTCAGGTTTAGATTACTCCTTGAATCATCGTTTATATTGGAAAGCCATTCCACTTGAGATGCATGTCCATAATTGCCAGGAGAAGCAGTCACTGTGACTCTCACCCCCGGTTTGACCGGATCTTGTTCTCTGTCGCACTCTTACGCCGAACACGCCGAAGGACTGACCAGGGAGTCGGTGATGCATTGGTTGTGAGCATGAATGTGTGAAATGCAGAACCAGGGGAAGACACCTCCAAAGAGGTCTCTTTAGCATCCTTGTGCTACAATTTTGGGATGCTTTCCGGACTTTTCTGGAAGAGATTCGACTTGGATCATTCCATATCCATGTCGTCGCTCCGGGTCTGGTTTTTCAGGAGATTCGTGCCCTCCGGTTTTTGTCCGGCCATGAGCAGAAGACACGGCATATGCCTACAAGCGCAACTGTGAAGTGACTCTAATGCGGGATCGGCATTCACCACCCTGCAGTCCGAGTGTATTTCTGCATTCCCGGGGAGTGCAGAGCATACTTGCCTTGGATTTTGCGTAGTTTTGACAACTAAAAAGTCAAGCTACAGGTTTTGTCAAGAATGACTCTTTGCAGTTAAGGTCTAACATTGCTCCCTAGGTCCCTACAAGATGACAATTCTTGTCTTCTGCAGGTTCCGATTTAGGGGCAGGGGTGCATAGCAGTTTGTACACTAAATGTCTGACCGATTGGATTGAAGGAAGATGATATGCCGGAGTTGCCGCAGTGCTGAGCAGTCCAGCATCAAAAAGTTCCGAAATATGCCGAATTGATGCAGCTGGCACGGTCATGAGCTAGAATGCCACTGCCACCACATGCCACCACTTTTCTGGGGGCATGCCGTTTTCGGACCTGTTCATGTACTGTAATTACGTAGCCCGTGATCTTAATGTTTTTTTGACTAGCCACTTTCGGACATAGTCTTGCCATGTTTGGAGGCGCCTCCGAATTGTTTTCGCCGCTGTGAACATATGTCACCGCTTTAGGGATGCCAGTCGTTACCAAATCCTGAAGGGTGACGACATCGGCACGTTTACCGGTGAAAGACCAGGATTCCAAGCATAGTCACTAGAGAAAGACTAGCAGGAAACACAACAAGAAAAGATAGCCCAAGCACAGTGCCCAAGTTTTAACATGTTTTAACAACGAAGCACCTCACGTTTCTTGAACACAGCCAACTGTCGTTTTCGGGTGCGTGGAGGCTGCAGAGATGGGCCACACCTGCATGGATGACATGCACACCACGTTGGGAAGAGGTGTGGCCGCGTTGATGGGGCTTTTCGACCCGCTATGACAAAGAAAACTTCGGTTGAATCATAATTAGCTGAGTTCCCTGGCCCAGTATAGTCTATAGTGGATTTCTTGATCGTTTCTGCCAGACTGTGCTACAGTTGTACCAACAAGCTTCTTTACAAGAACGGGTCGTGTCACCGTGTCACCAGAAAACCATGTGAAATGCTCCCCGTTGTATTTGTTGTGCCATTTCATGTCATTTCTTTTGCCAGGTATGCCAGGAATGATGAGTTGGGCATCGATCCCCTTTGCTTGCACCATTGGCTTCACCAGCTTAGAGGAGACGGACGGATGGGCGAGTGGGTCCTCGAGGGGGGCCACAACTCCTGGTTTACTTTGGGCCGAAATGGAGGCTTGAGAGATTGGGGAAATCTGTTTGCGCTGTCTCGTTTTAAATTGTATAGCTTAGGAAAATGGATGAGCATTAGGCTTCCTGAGCTACAATTGTCGGACATGATCATTTAATGTAAGAAGTTATTGGATTTTTTGCCTGTCCTCCGTTGGAGCAGTTTTTCAGGAGCATATGAAGACGTGAGAAATGAACGATGCAAGACTGCAAGACCATAAGAAAGCAATTCATTGTCAAGGGAGGAACTGCAGACGAGGAAAGCACATTATCTGAACGAGCGCATCTATTTCTGCAGGATAGCGCGGTGACTCTGCGGGAGTGTGATTTGATGGTGTGGGAATCTCAGATGGACAGAATCAGCACATTAGATGAAAGAAATTGAAAGAAGGGCCATCTGTGACAAGTGACAAGCTTGTTAGCTTGATCTTTTGATACAACGAGACTATGAAGATTGAAACACGTGCAAGAACGTGTCAGTGTTGAAGTTGGCTGTTTCAGTAGAACAGTTGCAGAATTCATACGAATTCTGAACTCCACTGTTTTTGCAGTTTGTGCCGAGGAGAGGCCACCCAATAGGCTCTCAGGCTGACTCTAATCCCAGGCAGATCCGCTTACCCACCGCCGAAGTTGGAGCTTTGCTGGATGACCTTTGCGTGAAAAGGCACCGATGAAACGGGCATTGAATTGGGTGGTTGTGAACTGCTAAAAGAAGAAGAATTGGAATGGTTTGGAGGCTTCTGGGATCAGATGTGTCTGGTGCGTTGTAAAGTTCACGCTGTGCACTTGTGTTTCGGCAGTTCGAACTGTTTTCGACCTTCACTTACCGTCGTTCCCTCTCAAGACTGGGAGGGCAGTTGCCTTGCAAAAGGCGCGGCCGCGGCGCTTCAGTGCGCCCTCTTGTTTTCGTGTTTGCGGACTTCGGGTGCCGCTGCTACCTTTTTCGCATTGGTAGCGGAGCCTCCTCCGGGGGGCTCCGAGTCCTTTGCGCGAAGAAGAACGAGGTTCTGCATAAGTCCTTTGTCACGAACCCTTGGCCGAGCTCTTTTGTTTCCTCGTTGAAGAGCCCTTTCGGTCTTGGCTACTTGTTTGAGAATGCCACCAACGACATCGGCTGCAGAAGGTTCCAAGGATGGTGACTACCTTAACCTGCGCGACTCCTTCGTTCCACTGTTCAGTGGACAACCCCAGGACTACAAAGAGTACAGAAAGAGGCTGATGCTCTACCACCACAAGATGAAGATCAGCAAGCGCTCAGCCGAGTCCGTCCTGAACATCCTGGGA